GTTTGCTTTGCCAGATGAACTTGTTTCAATCAAAGAGTTAATCAACAATGCTAAAAAATCCAGCGTAAAGTTCATATCTAATTTGTTGCTTGAAACAATTTTCATCTTTATTTCCTTCTGTCGAATAATGCTCTTGTTATTAAATTGTTCTGTCCATTTCTCATAACTGTTATCATCTGCAGTTCTAAATGGAAGACTTGAAAATTTTGTCTTTCCTAATGGAAATCCAAGTATTTGATTGACTGACTCTCTAGTAACATCAATCCCACCTCGTTCCATAACAATTTTTTTGTTTTTTAATTAAACTTCTCAAGAACAAAACAACTTAATCCCCCTGGCACATCTATCATTTTCATCTTTAGAATATCACCAAAACCTATCTTTCTAACACAATCCTTTTGAACATCACTGAATCCTTGTATAACAGATAACAAAGATCCAGGTGAGCACCTATTATCAAATACAACAATTAATTAATTAGTTTAATTTATATTTCATTAAACAAAATTAGTTACTTTTTAACTAAAACTTTAAAGTACATTATAAGGTATTGTCCTTTTCAAACTAATATGTTATTAATTTTAAAATTTCATTTGAATATTATGTGAAATATAATTTGATTCATCTGTAGTGTAAATAAAAGGTATTTCTTACATATATTTGATATATAATTCATCTAATAGTTATAAGTCACAAGTCTATCGATATGTGATTGATTTCAAAAACCTTTCATAATAAAAATATAACAAACTATCAATGCTTCCTCTAATAGCAAAACTATAATACTATAAAACACATTGTTATTCATATGTGATTCAGATCTGATTATTACATTCTTGTTTTTTTTTTTCATTTTACCCTAAACACAAAAGACAAAACAACGGGTATTTCGTTATATGTTTCTTAATAACATTTGAAACACATGAAAACCACCACTCTAATCAAATATGATTGGTTTTAGAAAGTTGTCTTCTATAATATATGATCACTCGATTTCAATTTCAAATTTCATTTTTTAGTAAAACATTTTTTTATCATAATAAGTGTTAATCACATTTGGTTTAAAACATAATTTATAGTTTAATCATCAAGGTATACATGTTTCAGATTCTATCAAATTCTTTATTTACTTTCTTCTTTCTACTTCTCTTTATCTGATTTTTTTTTAGACTTAGAATCCTGATTTTCTTTAAGTTTTTTTCTTTCTTATTAAAGAAACAGCTTTTCTCTTTCTTCTCCTCTGAGAAATTTTTTTAGGTACACTCTTTGATGATTCTTTTTTCTTCAGTAACTTCTTTTTCGTTTGGATTAGGGCTCTCTGCTATGAATAAGCATATGTATAATCACAAATTCCATATAAAACAAATCAATTTATTATACATCAAAAAATACCTTTTTGAAATATCCTTTTGATTTTGTGAATCATTTCAAAGTACTCTCTTTTTCAACATTTTCTTCTTTATTTTTGTCTGTTATTTATAAAAATATCATATATCATTAAAAAAACATAAAAATATAATATTTCCTATTTTTGGTTCATATGCATGTATAAATCGTTATTACTAAAGTCATTTTCAACGGTCAAAATATAATAATAAACGATCTTTAAACTATAATGAAATTTTTTTAAAAAAAGTCAATAAAAACACTATATCACATTTAAAACTAAATTTTATTAACTTAAATCATTCAACAACAGTTTGGATTCCGAAATCTGGTAAGTCAAACTAGGGATGAGCGTGGGACGGAACTGGTACCAACCCGTCCCGTTCCCGATTTCCCGAATACCGAATTTGATCGAAAGTTAATTTCGAGTATCGAACCGAATTAACATCACCAGTACCGGTACCGGGAATGGTACCGGTACTCGGTACTAATACCGGTATCGACGGTAGCGATTCCCGAATTTCATGTATTTGGAGTACCAAGTACCGTCCCGTATTTTTAAATTCGGTACGGGTTCAGTACTGGTACGGGATCGGGATTTGGGACAAACTGATCATCCCTAAGTCAAACTCATTATGGATGTAAAGTTGATTTACGATTAAATTTTTTATATAATACATAGTTTTTTACCTTGATAAGAAACATTTTTTCTGGTTGACGATATTTTTGATTCTATTAAAGCCCTTTCCTTTCGTTTCAGCAATTATCAAAGAAGATTTATGGATTTATTTTTGAGGAATTAGGACTTTTACTTCAGAAAGTATGGAGTAAGAGACAGAGATACAGAGAGAGAAGGATAGATAGAAAAAGATATTGTAGGGAACATAAAGTATTTATGTTCGAAAATGAACCTGTTTCTTTCCATTTTCATTATTACCCCCGTGTTGCTTAAATATTTTAACTTTACATCCAATTTTTTATTTAATTAAAAAATCTGACCCAAAATTTTGACAACATGTAAATAAAAAATACTAAATCCTATAGCTTGTTTTATAGTTTTACTTTCTTATTTATTATTCATTATACATTTTTTCATTTTATATTAAAAGATTTCAATTGTATGTGTTAATTTAAAAATAATAAAATTTATAAGTAACATTTTTTTTAAATTATTAGGCTTTAATTTATAATATGTTAGTATTGAATTTCAGTTTCTTGGTGTAAAATAAACATTTAGAAATAGTTTTTTCTTCTGATATTTAAGTTAAGTGCTGTATATGGGATTTTGTTGTGAATCTTGATTTTTGTAGGGTTATTGGTGTTGAAATAATTATTTAATTACTTGTATTCGTTTTTTTAACAAACATTGTATACTCTAATAAATAAGTTTTTGTGTGAATCGATATGAAATATCCATATACTGGTGGTTGTTTTTGGTTGTTTATATGTATTAAATTGCTAAATTTATGATTTTTGACATATGTAAATTGCATGTGATTTAAATGTTAAACATATATGTGATTTGCATGTGAATCACATGTAATTCATATGTGATTTACATGTGAATCACATATAATTTATATATGATTTACATGTGAATCACATGTAACTTATATGTGATTTACATGTAAATCACATGTAATTTATATGTCATTTACATGTTAATCACATGCAATTTGTATGTAAATCACATATGTCATGTACATGTGAATCATATGTAATTCATATGTGATTTACAAAGTGAATCACATGTAAATTACTCATGAAAAACATGTCATTCGTATATAAAATGCACCTGGTTTACAAAGTTGCTAAATTTATGATTTACATGTGATTCACGTATAATTCATATTACACTTAAATCACATATGTGATTTGCAAGTGAATGACATCTATTTGTATGTAAATTACATGTGAATCACATGTAATTCATATGTGATTTACATGTGAATCACATGTAATTCATATGTGAATTAACTATAATTAATATGTGATTTACATGTAAATTACAATTTGTATGAAAATTACATGTGAGTCACATGTAATTCATATGTGATTTACAAAGTGAATCATATTTAAATTACCCGGAATAAACCTACTCTTCGACCCATAGCTCTCTCGGAAACAATCACAGGTTCTTATATTTTTATCAATGTTTTGAAATCCTTATTTTGTTCTTGTTATTAATGTTATTTACATGTGAATGAGATATAATTTATATGTAAATATAAGATCAATTGCTAATCAAAGTACTTCAAATTCTTTTCATTTTCAAGTTTTGATTTTTAATAAATGTAATTTATATGTGATTCATTTGTAATTTACATTTCAATAAGATACGCATTTTAGGACCAAAATCACTCTTTTTTATTGCTAACCTGAATTTTCTATTAATGTCTTAATAACTAAAATATTATTAAAAAGGTAACTAATATGTTTTTAACATATGAATCAATGGTTCCTAACACATAACCATCCCGTTTTTGTTATATTAATATTATTAGAATTAAATGACAATTTTAACCCTTTTGCCACTCATCAAGTTTACATGGATAAATGACTACTAATAACTTAAACAAAAATTAACAACATACATACTTCATACTTCATACTATGTTAATGGCAGAAAGTCAAAGAAAGGCTGCTGAGACTTTGACTGCTTCCAAGGAACTAAATAAACCGTCTTTTTGTATATATATATATATATATATATATATATATATATATATATATATATATATATATATATATATATATATATATATATATATTAGCTTGATTATTTTAATTATGTTAAAGAATCTTGTTTGCTTTATTGAGTTTATTGCAGGAAATGTAGTCAAGGGTGCTGAGAGTGGTTTAAAAATGGAGGAAAAAAGGGTACATATGTGCAAACAAGTGGTTGGAAAAGATGTGGTATCATAAATCGATTCTAATAAGGTTTTTTTTATATATATTTTTGTTTTTTCCTTTTGGGTAGTTTTATATACTTGTACATTAACATTTTATTTTAATTTTTTTGATTTGTGTGTGTGAAGGAATACCGAAGTCATGTTATTGCATAACATAACCAAACTGTTTTTGTTATATTAATATTATTAATGTTATTTACATGTGAATTAGATATAATTTATATGTAAATATATGATCAATTTCTAATCAGAGTACTTCAAATTGTCTTCATTTTCAAGTTTTGATTTTTAATAAATGTAATTTATGTGATTTATTTGTAATTTACATTTAAATAATATACACATTTTAGGATGAAAATCAATCCTTTTTATTACCAAGCTGAATTTTCTATTAATGCCTTAATAACTCAAATATTATTAAAAAGTTGACTAATATGTTTTTAACATATGAATCAATTTTTCCTAACACATAACTATACTGTTTTTGTTATATTAATATAATTAGAATTAAATGATAATTTTAACCATTTTCCCACTCATCAAGTTTACATGGATAAATGACTACTGTTGCATAAACAAAAAAAAAAGTGCTTCCTGTTATGGACTAAAAAGTAAATATAATTCATTCTGATTTCTATATCAAATGTTTTATACAAATAGCAATGTACTTTTATCCTATCTAATATAAATTTTTTGAGTTTCTTATATACTCTCTAATCTTTGTTTAATCATCGTCTTAGCCATATCTCTTTCCCTTTTCCTTATACTTTCTTCAACCTTGTTGTATTCTTTTGTAAGCTCAAGAATCTTGGAAGCAACTTCATTAGTTTCAGATAATATCAACTTTGCAGCATATTTACATCTAAGAAAATCTAGAGTTACTTTTTGAGCATAGTTTTCTTTTCCAAATCTAGAATTCCATTTTCCATCTTTTTCTCCCATATAGGTCTCCATATGCCGCATCGTGAACACTCCACAATCTACTTTAATTTTTTGGGTTCGCCAAATCATTCTAATTCTTTTAGGCTTAAGGTTTTCATCACTCATTTATTCTGCTTTGGAATGGTTAATATCATTAAGATATAAACCAATATTTTTTTTTGTTAATTAAAAAAATATAAAAAATTTAGATATATAAACATAAAAAATATAATTAAAAAAAATTAGAAAAAATTTGAAGTATACTTACAAGATTATTAACTATATTACCATATCTTTCTTCAAAATCATTTTCACCAGCTGTACTGTTGTCAAGTACATCTATACTTGTTTTAGATAAATTGAACACAATAATATATATATATATATATATATATATATATATATATATATATATATATATATATATATATATATATAAACCTTGAACAATAGGAAAGAACACCTGCATTTTATTTTTAATATTATAATTAAATAAAATATAATTCAAAATAAAATTATCAATAACAAATAGTTTTATAACATACCAAATCAATTCCTTGCAGATTTCTTCTATTCTTGTCTTCACCAATATCACATTCAAAATTACTTTTAAAAATTTGGTATTTTTTATTATCATCCATTATTGTTGAAGTGATATAGTAATTCTGAAACAGAAACAATATATAAATTTAAACATTAGTTGTTTTAAAACAAAAAAAGTTAAACACATGTAATTTGTATGTAAATTCGTATGTAAATTTCATGTGATTTAAATTTTAAACACATGTATGTAAATCACATATATGATTTAAATGTGAATCACATTCACATGTAATTTGTATGTAAATTGCATGTGATTTAAATGTTAAACACATGTAATTTGTATGTAAATGACATATGTGATTTTCATGTGATTCACATATGTGATTTACATGTAAATCACATATGTGATTTGCAAGTGAATCACATTTAATTTGTATGTGATTTACATGTGAATCACATGTAACTCATAGGTGATTTACATGTAAATCACATGTAATTCATATGTCATTTACATGTTAATCACATATGTCATTTACATGTGAATCACATGTAATTCATATGTGATTTACAAAGTGAATCACATGTGAATTACTCGTGAATCACATGTCATTCGTATATAAATTGCATCTGATTTTCATGTGAATCACATGTGATTCGTATATGTCATTTACATGTGATTCACTTTGTAAATCACATATGAATTACATGTGATTCACATGTAAATGACATATGTGATTTACATACAAATTGCATGTGATTAACATGTAAATGACATATGAATTACATGTAAATCACATATGAATTACATGTAAATCACATATGAATTACATGTAATTTACATACAAATTAGATGTGATTCACTTGCAAATCACATATGTGATTTACATGTAAGACTTTGAACTTGAAAATAATAAAGTGGTCGGAAGAAAGTTCTCAAAAAGAAAGACAAAACCATCCTACTTAATATGTTCACCATATATTAAAAAGTTTGTTTCAACAGATAAATTGATAGAAGATGCTGAAATAAAAGTCTCAAACCGCATATTTGTAAGGATTGGATCTCCAAGGTAAAGATTGAATTTTTATTTATTTTAATTAAAACATTTAAAATTTAAATGTGGATAATTATTTAATATCTAATAATTCATTTTTTTATAATAAAAAACAGTGAAAAGGTATTTGAGGTGAAGAAAGGTATTGTGGTTCTTAGAGGGATGATTGAAACTTTGTAGCCAAAGTTGAATATTCATGAAAATGTAATTGATGCATGGATTAAGGTTTTAAACATTGAAGAAAAATGTTCTCCAAAAAACAAATGCAAAGATACTTTTTTGATACAACAATAATGGTAAGTTTCTAATAAATATTATTCATTTCATGAAAATTAAAATCTTAAATTTAACTTTATAGATATATATAATTTTTTTTTGTAGACTTCAAGCATGTATGATAGAAAAAGACTTTTAATTGAAGATTTGAAGAATTTGAAAGAAAAATAGAAGAAACAATGAAATATCATACAGAACTAATCACATTTGAAGAGTTTGGTTTGGTAATATTATTTTTTTCCCTTATATATATGAATCATATGGTAATATATGAAGAGTTTGATTTGGTAACATATATATATATATATATATATATATATATATATATATATATATATATATATATGTGATCACATGTAATTTACATGTAAAATAACAATTAAATCACATATGATTCACATGTAAACCACAAGTGAATCAAATATGAATTACATGTGATTCAGATGTAAATCACAAATGATTTATATATGCATTACATTACATTTGAATGTCATATCATTAACATATTAATCATATTTCAAACGCATGTGAATATGGATAAAAAAATGAGTTAAATTTTAAATTTTCTTTTAATATTAATGAAATCTAAAAATTATTTGATCAAAATAGGTATTTTTCCCTATTGTATTTGATGAACACTACTGCTCATATTAATCATATTTCAAACACATGTGAATAAAATGTGAATATGAATAACAAAATGAGTTAAATTTTAAATTTTCTTTTGATATTAATGAAATCTAAAAATTATTTGATCAAAATAGGTATTTTTCCCTATTGTATGTGATGAACACTACTGCCTCATATGTGTTGATTTAAAAGAAAAACAAATCGATGTCATGGACAACAATTTAACAACATCAAAGATACAAACTTCTTTTGGTGATGCAGCTGGTGAATTGGTAAGAAATATATAAATTTATATATTAAACTGAATATGAAAAATAATTTTAATTTGATTTATTTATTTCCTCAAAAAACACTCTTCAGTAGATACCTATTGAATGTAAATCACAAATCAGCCTTACAAATACAAAATGTTGAGGCAGAAAAATTGAGAATGAATTGGAGGAGTAGGAACAATGACGTTAATTGTGGTGTTTTTCTCATGAGACATATGGAAGTCTATATGGGTGATCGTATAGGGAATTGGAATTGTATAATTCATAAAAAATCATCAAAAAACTATAACAATCAATTGGATGACATGAGAGTGAAATATCTTACAAAGATTCTGTTGTGTGAGATAAATATTCACAAGAAAAAAATTATACAATAGTCCGAAGTATTTGCAAAGAAATCTGATGAACAGATAAAATCTCTTTTGGATAAGGGATGGAAGAAAAAAGATGGAAGGATACTCTGAGATTAAAAATGATGAAACTTTATGTCTTTGTTTGGTAAAAAATATGGTTTATACTTTGCTTTTCTAGGAAAATATATTTTTCTATAATTTTGTGGTTGTGTACGGCTGCACATGTGTGTGCGGCCGCACACCCTGTGTATGGCCGCACATGCGTGTGCAGCTGTACACTCGTGTGCTGCTGGTGGCCCATGTCTCATATATATAGGGTGAGGAGTGTAAGGCTAGAAAAGAGAGAAAAAGAGAGGAGCATGTTCTAGAGAGGAGAATAGTGTGTGTGAGAGAGAATCTATATATATGGAGCATCACTCAATTCATTGAATACATCATTAGATTCATCTTAATTCTTCTTCTCCTTCTCTTATATTGATCTGACATCATCCAATTGATTGGGATTCTGCACCATCAACTGGATCTGGTTGATACACAAACAATTTTGGGACTTACAATTGGTATCAGAGCTTGGATTGTATCAGTAAACATCTGTTTAAGGGTTGCCAAGTTTCGAACCTGGGCCTCTAGCTTCATCAAACACGTCTCTTACCAGTTGAGCTACAAGGCAATTCGTTAAAGACCTCGCTTGTTTATATTTTATACACTTCGCAGTAGCAGCAAATAATCAAAAGAAACTTTGGAATTGTCAAGAATTGAACCCTAGTCACCTGATAAACAAGTCCAACGCCTTACCATATGATCCGCCTTGATGGATGTTCCTTTCCTCTTAAATTTAATTCAAAAGGACTCTCTTTCGATTCTTTATTTCACATTTTGACACTTTTAACCCCAAAAATCAATCTCTTTCATTTTTAAATTTCATTTTCAACCAAAAATATTAGTTTTTAATTTTTGACTTTTATTTTTGTCTTTTGACTTTAAAATTGGGCTTTTGACTTTCAAGTTTGATCTTTGACTTTACACTTTGACTTTTTCATTTAATTTTTAGATTTTCAAATTTAGCCTTTCAGTTTGACTTTTCAAGTATGACTTTTTAAGTTTGATTTTTTAATTTTGAATTTGAAGTTGACTTTCTTGGTTTTTAAGTCAAAGGGCAATTTAAAAAAAAAAGGAAAAATGAGTTCCGCATCAATTCCGGTAAATAAAGTTTCATGTACTCCATCTTGTGAAACTACAATTAAATTTCTCTGAGATCATATCGATTTATTAAAAAGAGAAAATGAGGACCTCAAATACGAAGACTATACACTTAGGAAAGGTCAGAAACCTCTAAAAGCTCAATTAGAGGCCAAGACTAAGGACTTTAGGAAATTACAAGAAGATTACACCAATAAGTGCGAAAATTACGATCATATTAAGAAAAAACTTGTTGCTGTAATTGAAGAACTTGATGCTTTTAAAATTAAGTGTGGAAAAACAGATGTTAGTTTCAAAAATTATACTACGTTAAGTAAGACAATCGAGTCCTTATTTGAAAACCAATTAAAATTCAAAGATAATCGAAACAAGGGTCTAGGGTATGATATTGTTCCTCCCCCTTTCAATCATAACTATATATCCATCCCTATGACACATGAAGAAATTGATAGGGAGGCACATCTTCAATATGTGAAACCTGCTGTGGTTGTGCCAGAAAAGGTTGAGGTGAACGTTTCTAATGATTATGTTACATGTGCAGGTAAAGTAGCAGAAGATGAGAACAAGGAGAAAATAATTAAACAATCCAATGACTCCTTGAACTCTGAATTTGTTGCTTCGAACTCAGTTGCTTCTGATCAACCTGCTGTTGAGAAGTACAAACCACCAAATCAAGTGAAACAACCGACTTGCTGCAAGTCTGCTTGTGGGAACAATCAGACACGAGGCAAGGATATGCCACCAGGGGCAGGAAGAAACAACTTCACAGTGAAGAAAAAGACATGTTTTCACTGTGGAAC